GGTCCAGGTCGGAGCTCAAACAAAAACCAAAGGAATTATTCACCGCAAATGTTAACAAAACGCTAAATCATAAACACTCATGGCAATGCCTTCCATTTTGAAACTGATTCGAAGTAGAGTGCTCATTTTGTGGCAAAAGTTGTTGCAAACCAAGGGTGAGTTTTGCCAACTTAGGCCGCCTATACAATATGGTGGGTTTTAACCAAGGCCATCCGTAGCAGTGGGCCTATACACAGTACAGAGGCTCACTGCTGAAGCGTTTTGCTCATCACTGCAATGACTTAGATCTCCCTGTGCGTCTTTGATTAGCTCCAGTCGACCGTGAGGAGAGACCTCTAGTTATTAACCTCCACTGGGGTGATGCTGAGGATGGGGCCGGGTTAATGACCTTTGCAAGATGACAAAGCGCAGTTCCAGCATCAGTAAATCGACTCGCCTTTTTTTACGGCCAATTTACATACAATATAATATATTACATATACATGTAATGATTAGCCCATAGACAAATTCCCCGATATTTCACTGGGCATTGCTGATAGCCCCTATTTATGGTGGAAGGGACTTCACTGGGTTTTGTGCGGAGCGACTATAACAGAACACAGGCTTCATCACTGTAATAAGCGCCATTAGTGAGAACCACTGCAAATGACCGGCGAAAGCGTTGCTATAGTCACCGGATTCGATATCGGTATTAAAGGCAAGATATTCCCAAAACAGCGCCACACCATGTTGTTGTATTTATACAAAGTTGTGAATTCTCGCAAAATCTTGTAAATTATTGGACAAGAATCTTAGCATAAATATTGGACGAGGATTGTGCTCGTAAAATGTAGTTTCATTTGCGTTGTTTTATACAGTAATTCAAGTTCCAAGAGCAAGTTCCTTCACCTTGGAAGCACCCAATGGACTCAGTGCCTTTGCCACATAAACTTATAAGGTATCAGTAAATGTCGAATGATTGTTTTATTTGCAAACGATGACCTCTACATTTGTGCACATCTGCCCCATGCGGCGCTCTTACTGATTTGATATAAAATGAAACATTCGACGCTGTTGGCCAGAGATTTGTTCCAGTTACGAAATGTTCAAGTTGGTTCTTATATCTTCCATATGTTTGAATTATACATAGCGGAAGGTGTGTAAAGACCGCTTTCAGATTGCCTATACTACCCTGAAGGGCAGATTTTTCAACCTTGGTTGGTGGATTTTACCTCTGAATGTATATTTGCGTCGTTACCTTTAGGAGGGTTGTATTGCCATTTTGAGTAGTGTTTGTTAGTGGTGTTTGTTTTATTCAGCTGAGCGAGATTAAACACTTTGTGGATTATTGTTTTGCTTTATTACTCACGACCAGCATAATTTTAGTAGCCACTGGTGAACAACAAACGACTGTGACAAAAAAGATAAAATTATAAGAAATGCGTTTTGTGAAAACGACTGGACTGCACATCCAACTAAATTTTCTTTTCCATAAATAGCTGAAGATTAGTAAAGTTACCCCTTCCCAGAAATACATTTTGGCAATTTTGGTTCCGTATTTTGTACTGCATTAAATTACTTCTTGAGTATCTGTCTTACTTTTCCCCCTGTCCCTTAAAGGGCCATTTCAGAAACATATTTATATCACTTTTGGAAATGTCCTGGATGACATCCAATAAGCAGAGATTCGGCCACTTGTGCCTGTCAGAAAGGAGTGCTGATATGCGTTCATTTCCGCCATTTTGCCTGAAGTCTGACCATCGCGCGCAGCGACGATGGGGGGTAAAGTACTCTGCATTGCATCTCTCCGCCCAATGCAAAATTGATGGAGAAATTTAATGGACGCCTCTCGACGAGCTCAGAGATATAGGCTGAATTATTTATGTGTCGAGATCTTTGTCTGGTAAGTTCATTAAAGCGCGCGTGCGTTGTCATGCCTTATATTTACTGGCGTGCACGAAGCCAGGATGTGCATTGATGCAAGCCCACGTAAGTGATGCAGAGACCTCGGTCCAGGGTTACTCTGTGGAAATGAGAAGACACCCCCCCCAAAAAAAATACCTGACAATATACATCAAACTAGCACAAACACCACTATTCTGTGTTCTCTCGTGTGCTCCTTGCAGGTCAACTTGTTCGTGAAAGACCACTTTCTAATCTTATCCACTTGTCTTGTCTTCCCACCCGCAAATGATACCTAC